TAAGGTAATTACACAGGGAATAATCAGGACAGAGAAAAAAGTGAATGTAGGACAAGAAAAAAACCACAAATGTTCTCTTTATGGACAAGGCACAGGAGCCTGAAGTGGCCTGCCCAGTGAGGGAACCCCAGTTCAATCAAGCAGGTGTAGGGGCAGGGAATTGAGAGAAGGATGAGAGGCAGAACATGCTTGCTCTTTCCTCCCCTCGCCTGTCTTGTTTCTCAGCTGTGGACTATCTGGACAGCAAAGTCAGCAAAGACTGAGGGCATCTGAAGGTAGTCTGTTCCCTGCACCAGGTCCCAGTGGCTGCTTATGTGGGAGTGCTCCAAATACTGGGGTCTGGCTGGGGCCCAGGCAGTACCTCTAGTCAGAATCAGTGTGTTCTGGAAATGTGTACTTTCTGAAAATGTGTACTTTCTGACTTAGTAAGGTAAAATCCTCAAAAAAATGCATGCTTGTTACTATATGATGGACATTCTGTTAGACTCTAGAATATAATGACCAGGCCTTGCTTAGTGAGACAGTCAGGAGCAAGCTGAGCTGCAGTGCTGGAAGTCACACAGCTGAGTGCAGGTTCGGATCCTTGGATCGGCCTGAAAATACACGGGGTGCATGCACGCAGCCCAAGACCCTGATGAGCTGGAAAACTGTGAGAAGGAAGAATGAGGTATGATGCGACCCTGTGGAAGGTGATTCTCTCTCCCTTTTTCTCTGGCATGTACATACTATGTTATTTTTATTTAAAAATGAACTTTATAAATAGAAATATCAGGAAGGGAAGGAGAGTTAGGAAAGAGCATAGACTTTGGATTCATATAGGCATGGATGTAAACCCCATTTCCACAATTTGCTACCTGAACTGCTTGGGCTGTCAGGACACCTGCCTGAACTTCAATGTCAGAACCTGGAGGATAGGGACGACCGTGTTTCCCGCATGTGGTCATGTGAAGCTTACATGATGTATACAGAGGACCTGGTGCAGCCCTTCACATGTAAATGGCACTTCATGAATGTGAAATTTGAGATGTAGTAGGAATTGTAGTTCAGGTAAAGAAACAGCCATATGACACAGATACGCTGTGACTGTGATCAGATGATAAGAAGATACAGTTCACAGTATAGGAGCCGTAAAGAGAAAGGATGTCTGTCTCCTCCCTCCAATCCTGTTAGGCATCAGGAAAGAGAGAATAAGAGGACGTGTGGGGTGAGCAGGAGCAGGGCTCAGCCAATTGCTGCTTTACATGGGGAACCTGGCTTAGGAAGAATCCAGGCAGGAGAGTTTGGAGGGAAGTCCCTTGATACAGGACACATATCACCAAATACTCAAGATGTCTTCCTCTTATTGGAGGTGTGTGCGCACACACACATGTGCACATGAGCACATGCATATACCTTGTGGACAACCTTGAAGTGTACATTCCCCCTTCTAGTGGGGATACTGATACAGGAGTGGGCTTCTCCAACCCTCATTAGGTAGACTTTCAAGTCTATCATGGTCCCCGCAACTTGCCCCTTCCTCAGTTCCTCACACAAATAGTCCTTTCCCAAAGAGCAAGTGAAATTCAGTTGAACCAGAGCCTGACTGCTGGGGTTCCAAGCCCAGTTCCACCACCTACCAGCTAAGTTACTTTAACTTTCTGAGCCTCAGTTTTCTATTTGTAAATGGGAAAGATATTTTAACGTTTATTTATTTGTTTCTTCCATAACAAAGAGAGACAGATACCCACACAGGTCCCTACACTGCAGTCTACTCCAGCCTCAGCCAGGGTCAAGGGCATATACACACAGGCCTGTCCAGGGACATTTCAGGCACTCAGGAGCTTCCCATGTGGCCTTGGCATCAGAGAGCATTGTGTTACCACAGAGCCAACGCAGGTAGCCAGGAATAAAAATTCATGCTATATCCTTAGATATTTCTGAGAATTGATTGAGATAACACATTTAAACTTTTAGCCTTATAGTCACTGGTAATAAGCCTTTATTTTATTTTTTTGAGTATAATTTATTTATTATTATTTTTAATTTGCTATAGGGCATAAGTGCTCACAAGAGAGAGACAGACAGAGAGAAAAAGTGAGAAGGCAAGCTGCCAGGTCTGGGACTCAAATCACAATCAGCCATATGGGGATCCAGCATCTTATTCACCACGCCACCTGCTGGTCCCAGAAAGCCTTGATTAAATGCTTACTTTATGTCTATGCCTAAGTCTTTTTTTCTTTTCTTTTCTTTTCTTTTTTTTTTTTAGAGAGATTTTTTGCTATAGGGCTTATGCACTTGCCAGATAGAGAGACAGAAAGCAAGAAATCACACCCCACCTCCTCCCAGGGAGGATGGCCACACTATAATACATTCTTCTCTATTCTCTTGGAATTTTAAGAGGCTGGGTCTGGGACTCAAACCACAGTCAACTACTTGGGAGTCCAGTGAAATAACCACTACGTCATCTGCTGGTCCCCCTTCTCTAAGTCTTTTACATGTATTATTCCTGATTTTTCACAACCTGTGGTGTAGTCACTGTTACGTACAGATGAACTAAGGCACAAAAACTTAAAATTATTTACTCATTGTAACCTGAGCAGTAAGTGGCAGCATCAGGATTTGAACCAGGTCGTTGGGTGACTGATTAGTAGATGTTGGCTCTTGCTGAGGCAAGGGGGTTCTCTGAAAGATGGAGAGATAATCTCTGAGGACTTTCTGTTTTTGCTTTTGTTCATCATTTGCTTTACTGAGTAGGTATGTTCTTTATGCAAGTCAAAATGGAATGTTAAATGGGAAGAGAAGTGTCCCTAGCACTCACAGCTGGGGTCATGGAACTTGGGTGTTAGTATTTGGCATGCACCACCATGGCCCCCCCTTTTTAGGGAAACGAGGCCCCTTTGATAAGCATTACTGTAAAGGCTTCCACGCTCCCTACCAGATGAATCTACTCTGCACCCACATTGCTCCACAATCTCCCTGCTAACTGTCACTCAGCCAGTGAGCCTGGAGACATCTATATTTCCCCCATTTTAGTTTAGTGATCATATTAAAAATGAAGTCTATTAGGATGAGTTTCTGCCCAGCCTCGATAAATCTCTTCAAACACCATTCAGGCCCAGATTTCTGTTAGTCTTCGCCATTGGGGAGGCTGTAGCCCCTAGTGACTATCAGTTCGGGTGGAGGGCTCAAGACACAGCCTCTGCTAAATGAAACTCAAATGGAGACTTTGGAATATAAATATTGAAGTGACCCAGGTTGGAAAAGGGGAACCAGTTAGCTAAGCTTCTATCTTACATGCAGGAGATGCTAAATTATTAAAACTTTAATAAATGTAATAATAAATATTTGATGTTGAATTATAGAAGGCTTTGCAGATACAGTGAAACTGAGAAACGACTTGTTATATCTGCATTAGAAGTTAAACACTTTTCAAATGGGACTTCTTTTGCTGAGACGGGTCCACAGATCTTTAAAGAGAGGGAGATGAAAGTATGATTTTTAGCAAGTATGCTGGGATGGGGTTCAGGATACCTAGGTTTGAGGCCTGACCTTATATTAAAGACAACAATAAGTGGTATTTTGGGCAGAGGCCTTCCACTCAGCTTCCTGTAAGTGAGCCTCAGAGCCATCTTCTGATGTCCAGGCTATTTTTATCTCCCATTTCACAGATGGAGAAAGCTGGCGTTCTACGGCCTTAAGCAGTGCAGCTGGTAAGGAGATGAATTAGAAGTGAAGCACAGACTTCTGATCTCAAGACATTTACTTATTCCATCCATCATGCTCCCGTGCCTCCTTCATTTGCTGCATAGAGGCCCTTTCTGCACTGTATTTATCAGGAGGGCTTGGGTCTGGGGAGACAGAGACCCATTCACATTAGCTAAATGACAGCTCAACTATCTTGAGATGATGTCATGGGCAAGTGAGAGATCAGTTCAGCCACTGGGATGATGGAGGTTGAGGGCATTGCATCACTTGAATTCTGTCTTTCTCTTACAAAACTTGGTGAAAGTTCTAGAAAAGCCACAGGGGAGATGCAGTACCCTTTTAGTGAGTACATCTAGGTGGGTGTTAAGTTACCAGAGCAGAGAGAGAGAATTCCATGGAGGCGTGGCCTTTAGTAAAGAACACGAACAGCTTATCATGTCCCTGGCATGGAAGGAAGTCAGGGGAATAAATGTCCCAATCTCACTCAGCCTCACCTACCAGATTTTCTGCTGGATTTTCCCGTTGACTGAAACCAGTGGAAAGCCATGAACAGAAGTGAGCCCACTGAGGCAGTCCATGGAAGCCAGCCTCCTAAGGATAAGCTGAGGGTGAACCCAAAGGAGCAGATGACAGAGACATAGTACAAACTCCAAGTCTCGCCATGCTGCTTTCAAAGTTTCCTCAGGCCCAGCCTGGTAGTGCCATTGGTAGCAGACTAAACAGCAATGCTGGAAGCCACATGGTCATAAGTGGTTTGTACCTCTTGGCTTGAGAATATATTAGGTGCATGAGCATGTGCCCAAGATCCTGACAAGCCAGAGGGCCAGGAGAGGGGATTACCAAATGATAAGACCCTGTCAGTGATACTTTTCTCTGTCATGTGGATGCACACACCCTCCATCATGAATAAAATAAATAAACTTAAATACATCTTCAAAAGGTCCACAGCTCTCCATCTTCGCTGAAACTCCCTGTCTCTGACCATTCTAAATAGGCTCACTGCTTTTCAGTTCTCATCCCAACCCACACACATACCCAGTCCAACCTCCACACAAAATGAGCCATGTCTAGTCCCTGCTTAAAACCACTAAAACCCTTCCCCCACCTCCAACTGTCTCAGAATAAAAAGCCAACTATTTTAGCTGGCACACATTAGCATTTTATAATCTAGCTACCATCCCCTCTGTGATTTCATCTGTCGTCATGTCCCCATTTGCTATTTTCTCAAAATCCCGTACATTTTCCTGTCTACTTGCTTTTGCCAGTTCTGTCCCTCGATCTGAAATGGCCTAACACTCACCCAGTACCCTATGTACCTGGCACTCCATGAGTCCTCATTCATCACAGCCTTGCTGAAGTGTCACTTCTTCTGAGCAGCCATTTGTGGGTGTGCCCTTTTTCTATCCATCAGAATTATAGCCCCCTCACTGCTTTGTTCATGCTTCTAGAATATTTCTTGCAGAATTATGACACAGTGCTTTTTGCAGTGCAGTTAATTGCAGACTCTGCCCTCACCTGGTAATCTCCCTTTACTTGAAATTCATGAATTGTATCTTTTCTTTTTTTTTTGAGAGTTTTTTTTTTTTCTATAGGAAATGTTCACCTGCTGTAGAGATAGACAGAAAATGAGAAATCACCCCCCAACACACACACACACACACACACACACACACACAGGGAGTATGGCCATTACACAATGCGTTCTCCATCCTCCTCTCAGGATCTTGAGCACACATTTGCACCCGATGTGAGTTTCAAGCCACTGGATCCGAGACTCAAACCGCTGAGAGTTCAGTAATGTAACCATTATGCCACCTGCTGGTCCCAATAGATTATATTTTAACTACTTTTGCATTCCTAGTTCTAAGCATAGTAAATATCTTAGAGAAAGGATACAGAACATTTTGATAAAATCAACCTGATATGTCTATGCTGGTATGATCAGGTAGATATTTTGATATTACCAATAAATTGCTCAACAAATACCTTTACACTATCTCCAACTATCACCCAATGCTTTCACATATAAATGCCTTCAAAATAGCCCTATACAAATTTCCTACAACACAGTATTGATTGTACTGTATTGTAACAGCTCCTGTTATCTCTATGTGGTTCCAAATAACACTAGTACTGTGGGGTTAGTAAATGGAACAAAATAAGAAAGAAAGGTTCTCTAATTTAAGAGGTTTGAGAAATCCTATTATAAATAAAGTTACTAAATTGATTTCCTTGCTGGCAGTTTTCCGAGGGATGTTAATATGTTAATAAACATCATGAATCTTTAGGACAGGAGGTCTACACACTATAGTCTCCCCAAAGCTCTTTGACTAGAAGCAGGTTCAGGACCTACATTCCTTGAGACACACTGCAAGTAATACCATACTAGTCCCCTGAGGCTCAGAGGCTACAAGAGTTAAACGAAACATCAGAGAAAGAGGGATTTAGTTCCCCAGAGGCCTCTTTCAAGGTACACACACCGTTTTGGGGAGTGGGAGGGAGAGTTGTTTTCTCTCCTGTTGGTTTATTAGTCGATCCAGTCACTGAGTTCCAGGTTCTTTCTCCCTGACTACAGAAGGACCCCCATCAGGCGAGCAGGCTATGGATAGAATGGCCATGCTAGGATGTTCCAGAACTGGAGCAAGTCCTGGGGGAGTAAAACAAAATTACCTAGAGCTGGCAGAAGAGGAAAGGGAAGTAGTGAGAACCACAACAACAAAGAACGAGAAAGAAGAAACACTTCATAGCACCTCAGCCTTTGGAACCCTATACCCCAAGATAGCCTGGTCATAATAGCATGTGCTCATGCTGATGCCTGACTCAGATCTCAGTGCCACCGTTCACTACCTGGGCAATGGTGGGCAGGTTTCTTTACCTCCCTTAGCTCATTTTCCACTTTTGCAAAATAGAGATAACTGTAGCTATCTTGCAGGATTGCTGTTGGTATTTGAGTTCAGGTATGATGTGTTTGGCACAAAATCATTGGCTATTATTGTTGTTATTAGAGTACAGTTATTTAGCTTGGACTTTAGCCCAGTATGAGACTCCTTCTCTAGTCTCTTTTTAACAAACTCTTACCTTTACAGAAAGAAATTGAGACTCATACTCTTTGCGTAATCTACCTTCTATTCCAAAGACTTTGCACTAAAAAGTCATATACTCATTTAGTATATGATGATTTAATTATGGGAGAGTAACTCAGAGATCCTCCCAAAAGGAATATGAGATTCATAGCAGCCAATAGCTAAACATGGAAGTACCTCAAGTGTCCATCAACAAATAAATAGATATGCAAAATGCAATATAAACATGCGCCCATGATCCTGTTCAGTTGAGACCAGGGACAGATCATGGCATGAAGATCCTGTTGGGTGTCTCTCTCTTCCTCTCTCTCTCTTTCTCCAGGGGAAATAAACCTAAGAAAAAATGTTAAGAATTGATATACCTAGATTTCTTTGATACACATCTTCCATGAACTTGTTGAAGACCCATTATACATGGAACCTTATTCTGCTCCAGGAACTCTGTACCCAGAATGCCTTTGAGGTAGACATCATAGTTTATTAGGACTGACTGGTAGGTCCATGGAGGCTTCTTCTCAAATAGTTTATTTTATTTTCTCTTATTCCTTTTTTAAAATTATTATTATGGTAAGATATGTATAGCATAAAATGTACTGATTTAAACATTTTTAGGTACACTAGCCTCACTGAACAGATGAGAAATTAAGGCTTAAAAGTTGTGATTTGGGGCCAGCAAGTGGCGTGGTGGTTAAGGCACTGAGTCCCTTATGGCCAGCTCAGCATTTCAAGTGTCAGGCTAACGACCTGAAAAACATACCAGCTGCTTGTGCCCAAAATCCCAAAAGGAGGATGAAGGAAAAGAGATTACACCATAGCCATCCTTGTGGAGGGTGATTTCTTGCTTTCCTTCTGTCTCTGTCTGTCTCTATCTCTCTCTAGTGAGCACATGCACCCTATGACAGAAAAAAAAAAGGAGTGTGATTTCAAGCCCTTGTTCTTTCCATTGCACTCTTGAGAGACCCAGTTGTTACAGGGCTAGGATATAGTGTAGGTTATTAAGCCAGAAGTTGAAGAATGAAGAGAAAAGCTGGCTTGGGAAGAGCTATCCTGGGGAGGCAAGAAAAGAATTGGTCTAGGGAGTAAAGGCATTATCCTGGCCTCACAAATGAACATGAACTTCAGATTTTTGAAACCCTGATGGCTGGGGTGAAAAAGGAGAGCTAAAGAGCCTGGCTGTGTGGGTCAGTGCCCTCTGTTGTGGGACATGGAGAAGCATCACTGGCAGGAAGTCAGGGACTAGGTCTAACAACACCTCCCATCTCCCAACGTGATCCAGAGACACCCTGCCCTCCCTTGCTGTGACAGATTTTGAACATTAAAAAAAAGTTTACAATCCCAGCAGGGCAGGAATAAATCACAGCGCCTCTGTGCAGCAGCAGCAGACATGACTTATGGCCTGATTGCCATGGCAACAGGAGCGCAGCCAGCACACGTACAAAAGCGCCTCTCCTGCCTGACAGGCCTTTACTGGGCCCTGATGGAGAGGCAAGTGCTCTGGAGAAAGGATGTATTCTTGGGAACTTGCTGCCCATTTGTCTTCATTCTGCACCAGAGCAAACCCCTTGCTTTTTCTCTCCTCCCCCTATGCCTGGCCAACAAGTCGTGTTCTTCCCTCTTTTCTGCATGGGAAAGTTTTCTTTTTCTTTTATCCCTGTCTGCCCAAAGGTTTACAGAAAACTCCAATTAGGTACAGCCTCTGTGGCTTAGACAGTATCATACTGAACTGCAATGCTGGAAGCCACATGGCCAACCACAATGCAGACTCCCAGCCCAGGGACCAGCAGATGGTGTAATGGTTACATCGCTGGACTCCTGCGTAGTTGACCACGATTCAAATCCCAGACCCCGCAGCTTAAACTCATGCTAGGTGCATGTGTATGGGTCCCCAAAATCCCAAGAGGAGAATGGAGGAAAAGGGATTGCATCATGGTCATCCCCCCTGGGCGATGATTTCTCACGGTCTTTCTCTCTGGGGAGCAACACATCCTGTACCAAAAAAAGTCTCTCAAAAACAAAAAGCAGATTCCCAGCCCAGTTAACCTGAAACATGCCAGGTGTGTGCTAGCTCGGCTAGGATCCTGATCATCTGGAGGGTAGAATACAATCTTGGTGTGACCAGACTGTTGAGGGTGCTTATCTCTCACTCTTTCTGTCTTTCTCTCTCATGTGCTTTCTGTCATTTCAGTGGGGAAACTTAAAAATATAAGACCCCTGTGAGAGCTTCTGAAGACCCTGACAGCTCCTTCCAGTCATCCTCTCTGAGTGTGAGCTATGATAATAGCTTCCACATGTTGAGCATCAGTACGTGGGGACTCCTCGCAGATGTTTCCTCAATAATCTCTCCCTATGCCCAGCCAACGGGTTGCTTTCCTCCCTCACTTCTTATATTTTCTTCCTGTTTTGCAAATTAGCCTGATTTTCTTCCTGTTTTTCTAACCCCTGCTCTCCATGTCATCCTCCACATGCAGCTGGAGTAGGTTTCTCCACATTGTAAACTGCTTCAGAATCTTCCATTACTCCTCCTGCCCATTGCCGTGAGAATAAAGCCCATACTTCTCAGCATGACACTCAGAGCCTTTGAGGATCTATCTCTGCTTCTCTCTCCAGTCACCTACCTATGTTTTTTCCTGGAGGCTTCATTCATCTTGAGTGCTTTTAGTTCTTCATGTGACTTGTTCCTTCTTCCAAGAACATAGATATCCCTTGCCTAGCCTTTTCATCTGGATGCCTTCTATTCATTCAGCAGAGCTGAGCATATGCCACCTCCTCCAGGAAGTCTTATATTTTCTTAAAGAAGTATTTTATTTAACTTTATTTACTTTCTTATTTAATTTGTTCAGAGGGGAACAAAGTGAGAAAGTGAGAGAGAGAGAGAGAGAGAGGAAGAGAAAGAGAGAGAGAAAGCAAGTCTCCAAGTCCAGGACTCGAACCACGGTCAGCCATGTGGGAGTCCAGCACTGTTAACCACCATGCCATCTGCTGGCTCCAGGAAGCCTTATTTAGTCCCACAATTCCAGTAGAAGCCATTTTTCTTTTTGTCCTCAGGTTCTAGCATCCCACCCCTTGTGGCATACACCCTCTCCCCATAGTCCACTGTGTCTCCATGCCTCTGCATTCTTTGATCCCCACCTCTACAGTCGGTGTACCACTTCTTCTCTCTGGACACCATTACTGCCTCCTCACCTCACTTCCTGCCTTTATTCTTTCCCCTCTCAAATTGATGCCCCACATGGTAGTCAAGGGAAATGCTTTCATCCAACACAAAGTCCAGCTGGGCTAGCACCCTGATTGAACTCATTTCATG